TGTGTGAACTGCCCATCACAACTTGTTGAATTTAAATAAGTAATAGTAGACCCTTTAATTGTCACTTTTTCATAAGAAACGCCATCATCATTAATGTAACAAATATTTGGAAAATAGACAAGAGTTCTGTCACTCTCAGTCTTAGCCACAAATTTTGGAAGAGTGATTGTCACACTAGTATTTCCCTGATGATCGCAGTTATTAAATAAAATCCTTTGTGTGTCATATTGAGTAGACTGACATTTAGTGTCGTTGTAAATATTAAAACTTACAGACAAGTCGCTATACCAATCAACTTTTTCTTGAAGTAGATTTGGAGTCTTGAACACATCCTAAAGTTGTAAAATACTTTGGCGGCAAAGATGAAATATATGTAGAACAATAAGTCGATGTTGGATATGTGATATAATCAAAGTAATATACTAATGATTGAATGTCTGAAACTTGTTTTAATGTTAGTGTTGTATCTTCTGTTGTTACAGACTCACATGAAGTCCCCGTGTACACTTTACCTGAAATCACTTTGGTAAAACTAGTGATGTCATCGGGATTCACATAACAAGTGTTTTCAACATATATCTCGAAGTACCCATATGGGGTTTCGTGTTGATAATAATTCTGTGCGTTTGATAAACACAAAAATAAGAGGAGTTGAATCATATGTTTTTTATTGAATAAATTAATTTAAATAATCAACTTTTCGATATTTTAAAATATTCCATTCAAATAAAGAGTCATTTTTTAACGACAAATTCGAAATTGAATATTTAATATAATATTATTTGTATTTTTGAATAAAAAAGATTGAAATTATAGTATTTTGTGGTGGAATTTATGTTTTCACAAGGCCAATTGACTAAATTGTCAATTATAGTCATCTTAAAAAGAAATAAATATTTTTTAAATGTTTTCAAATTAAATAGATTACAATCTTGTTGATTTTTTATTATTTGGAATCATGAGAAAAAATCATGAATCGTTCACATTTCGAAATATCTATTTTATAACATTCAAAAATTTTTTAGAATTTTTTTATTTTACAGTTTTTACTTTTATCGAAATGTTATAATATGTAGATAACATTAATAAAAATATTTAATAATTAACACAAGCTAGCCACCAGTTGTATCCAATTTGCAGCCCTGCTTGGAAAAACTGACCGGCAAACTATAAAAATGGTTTCTGAAAATTATTTAATAGTTTTTTCAATAAAAATTTTAAAAAAAGACAAAAAACAAAAAAAAACAATAATATACTATAAATTATTTTATGCCAGTATGTTTTTCTGGGATCTTTAGTTGCATAAAAGATTAAATATCGATTTGTTCAAAAAGTTTATAAAAAGTACAGGTGTATACGTCATATCATTAAAACTTTCCAAAATGGTTTTTTGAATACACATATCATTAAACGATTACTTTAATATTTAAAAAAATGATATAACATAATCTAGGTGATTTGATCACCATTACTTTTGTGAAAAAAAAACATTATACAGGGAATATAAAAAACCGCTTCCTTCTTTTTAATTACTTTCTATAGATTTAATAGTTATAACTAATAACATTATAATAAAAAGTATAATACAAATTACCACCCAGGACAGAAAAAGTAACTACGAGGAATATTCAGCCTTCATGGTAAACAGTACCATACATTTTATTATATTAATATTATTTGAATTTATAAAAACAAGTTGAAGCGGTTAAAAAGACGGAAGCGGTTTTTAGTCCCCCTGTAATAATATTGTCAATCATACACAAAAAATCATAATAATTATTCATATTGTACATAACTATTATTGTAGTAGTTAATACCAGTTATGTCTTTGTTATTAAACTGTATCTCTTTAACATGTTTTATTTTTTGTGTATTTTTACTGTTAATTTATTTCACTATAATACTGTTTTTATTCAATCTATTTTTTTTGAATAACTAAAACTTGGCCCTACTATTTTTTATTAATATTGAACCATTTACTTTGAATGTATTATTATGATAATATTTTCATTTGATTTCATAAACTAATTATGATATTAATGTAATTATACCATTTTATTAATAGAACATAACGTCTTTGTAAAGGTATCGAACATGACCCATTGTCTTTTACAAAAGTAACAATTCGAAAAAGTACAGCAAATACAATTGACAACAAAGAGCTTCGAGTACAAAAATTAGCAGAGTTGTTACAATTTCAAAAAAGTGGCTATGCTATTGTTAATATTGATAAGTCTCATTGGAAGGTTGGTAATCTCCGAACAAGAAAATGGGGTTCACGTGGAAAAAACACTTCAGAACGACAAAAATGAAAACGTTTAACATGAGTTGCGTCAGCTCGATATCCGAATCAGGTGACAAATTTTGTCGAGTATTTAACGAAACAGTCAATAATGAAATGTTCAGTGCATCATTTAAACTTCTTGTTAAAAATTATGTTGTTTTACTTGGAAACATAGTCTTTGTAATGGACAATGCTTCTGAACATAGAGAGGATATCATTTATGAAGCAAACGCTAGAGGGTGTAAGGTGTTGTTTAATGCACCCTATACCCCAGAATGCAATCCAATAGAAATAATTTTCGGTATTTGGAAAAGTCGAGTTGGTAAATTACCAAATGAAAACTTTCTTTAATTGTTAACGAATATGTCCAGATGCTTTAAAGATATCGAAAAAATGAGGTAAGAAGAAGTTAGAGTCATTTTCTTGGTCGATTATCGACAAAAGTGATTAATCGAGAAGACCTCAAATGGAAAATGTCAATTAAGCTGTTTTCAGTATTATTTTGAAACAAAATTACAGCTATATGAAACAAATTTATTTTATT